ATAACTCTCTTAGACAATTTAATCATCGCCAGAATATTTAACCGATAAGAATTCCATTTACCATCATCATACGGATATCCTCCAGGCCGATAATCGCGACCATCGGGTGTTCTGTCATAACCGTCATCGTCGGTTCGATCGTCGTCATAGTTGTCTACGTATGGCTTATCTTCTTCAGAACCTGAAAACCAAGGCACATAGAAAGTGTTGCAATCTGCATTGTTCAGAATTGTTACAAATACTACTATTTATCGGAAAGCAATTTCCAAGGAAGTAAAACCAAAGAGCGATTTTTACACATTTCGGGAGGACAACTTTTAAGTGCTATCATTCAACCATTTTATGAAAATATTTTTATAAAGCTTCGAAAATTCTAAAAAATTGTATAGTACAGCCAACCGGTTTGAATTTTCCACTGAATATAAATTTTTTTATGTGATATAAATAAAGACTTACTTTGTAACAATAATATAAATTCGTTTATCTAGAAATCCAGAATATCTTGGAAACTACAAAAGATAGTGAAAAATGTTTTAACAAAAGTTGTTTGGATGAAAGAGTGAATAACAAGATTTAAATAGTTTTCTTCTGATGCGGATGTTGGTCTTTATTATTATTTATTTTCGTGTAGAGTGTGTCATAATACAATTTAAAGCGAATCTAATGAGGTGCAATCGAAGTAATTTCGGTCAACAGAAACGTGGAAAATCGCTGTTTAATCGAGTCATCATATACCGCACTCCTCTGGTCAGTTACACTCTGCATAATTAGTGATTGTGACTGCCTATTTGTATTTATAACGACGGAGGGCACGTAAAAGGAATCAATGATTAACAACAGTACTCGTGTAGGTAATTCTGAACAAATGTCACTTATTTCTCACATTTGCGAAATGCATCGAAACGTTTATAAACATACAGACAGTCACTAAACACACAGAATGTGTGTAACCTTGATTAATCCTCGCAGGGCGCTGGCTATGTGTCAACCTACAATATTTAATTATTAATATTTAAATCGTTCACTTAATCACTCAATTTTCGGTAATTAAATAAAATAAATTGCTGTTACATTAGGAACGACAAGAAGGTTAATAAGTCTGGTAAGAATATCTTCAAAAATATGTTCTGAAAAATTGCTGAATTAACAGTTGTGAAAATGGTTCGCAGTTCGAGAGTTAAACAACGATTTTTCACGTTTCTGTTGACAGAAATGACTTCGATTGCACCTTATTGAATTTGTTTCAAATTGCACGATAATGCATTGTACACGAAAATACAGCATTCTATTTTAAAAGCTATCGTGACTAAATCTCGTTTTGCCCCCTTCCTTTCATTTTTTCACTATCTTTTGTAATTTCCGAGATATTCTGCATTTCTTGATAAAAATGACTCCCTGAATACAGAGTGTTACAATAATGTTGGAATCAAACGAGATGCGTAATTCCTTAGTTAATTTGAATATTTTGAATTTAATCAAATTCTCAGCTACTTCGTTAATGAAATACAGTGGCCGAAGTAATGATTGCGTTATTAATATATGAATTTTTGTTATTAGAATTTTTATTAATATGATTGTTATAACAATATTACAAATTTGGAAATTTTGTGCAAACTAAATAGAAGTTTATTTAATAATTTTGTATTTGTATCTAAAAAATTATCATAGGTCCAATTAAAAATTTATTAGTTACGAAGGAAACTCTGTTAATATTTAGTTGATCCTCCATTGTTATTATGACCACAATATCTTTTGTGGTATCAAGTATGTCAATTTTTCCAGCATCTCTGACCTGATCTGAGACCACGCCTGATGTGTGCCATTTTTTAATTTATTAATAGTTGAGTATTGTTTACCATTGCTGTAAACTTTTCTCTCTAACGTGCCTCATAGGTTTTCAATACATTATTTAACTAATTATATGTTTCACTAAATGCATTGTAACGAATCACCTACTAATAACAAAAAATAATAATGATACGTATAACACGCTGCTATATCACAAAAATGAAATGAACCTATCATTATTTCGGCCACTGCATTAACAATAAACACAGACCAATTGCCATTGCCGTGTTAAGTTCGCCATCTCGTCAAAATTCGTAGACCTTACCTTACTCGCTCTCTAATTGGTCAGTATTTTTCATCAATAACTTGTTAACATAGCCGTGAAGAACAAATTTTTATCAAATTCAACTTTTTGTTACAGTTGTGTGCATAATTATCGACTTATCGAATTACACATATCTAAACAAAAACCAAAAAAAAAATACTATATTTGTAAAAATTATGTTACTTCCTGAGATCATTTGAAGTAACTTTTTCCTTAACGATAATGTAATACGAAATTTTTTTTATTTACGAGTTATTAACAAAAAACACTGACCAATGAGAAGCGAGATCAGCTGGCGCGAGAAGGCCGAGCCAATGAGCGGAATTGGGTTTCGGCCGCCTTGGGCCAGACAAGCTTGCGTCTCATTGGTCAGTGATTTTTCGTTAATAACTCGCAAACAAAGCCGCGAATTGCATTTTCGATAAGGAAAAAGTTACTTCAAATAATCTCAGGAACCCCACATTTCACGGAAGTAACATAATTTTGAGACAGCCTGTATATTAGAAATAATTGAAAATAGAAATACATAAATATGATATATCGTTCAGTTTTTGCTTCAGTTTCACTAAAAATGTAGAAGTTACTTTGAGTCTATAATTATTCACACCATTGAATTGTGAAGAACAACGTTTTTAACGAATTTGTTATGTTCATGAAAACAAGTACCGCTATGGTTACCTTCGTTATTCGTAAGGAAATGTTTCCATCGTTGTGAAGGATTGTAGTCGTCATCGCTGTTTTTCGGTTTTCCTATATCACCTCGCCCCAATGGCACCACGGGTTGTGGATTGCCCGACCATTGCTAAAATAAATACAACGAAAGTAGTAATTGTTCCAGATGCTGGTCGAATGAAATAAAAAACATAGTAAAGTCTCAGTAACTCGAAATATTCTGTCAATTTAATAATTATTTCTCACAGACAACTTAGAAACAGGAATCGACGACAACAATCATTTTTGAAATCTGAAAGAATTGCTAAAAAAAACGCACGATTAAAAGATTTCGATTTTTGATTAACCAAAAATTTTTATCGTTGCCAATAATCATTTATTGATATCGGATAGTCTGTTTCGGTCACTTATAATTAAACCGTAGATCTTTATGCAAATTCTCACTTTCATGTATCATCATTTGGCGGCGGTTCGAGTGTGGAAAAGGAAAGGGGAGACCTTTCGTCCGGGGCCCGCTAGAGGACTCATCGGTAAAGCTATCCTAGCGGGCCCTTGCTTTAGACGTAAGGGTAGGACGAAGTCTCGGTGTATATATACGGATCGAGGCGGATCGGTTACTAGCGGGAAGAGGAGTCCTCTGCTGGCAGGTCTGGAGGTAGCCGCCACATACCCCCCTGCCAGTGATAACGATATCTAAGATGGGGGTCCTCTCCATGCTAGATGTTTGCTATACCTCGTGGGCATCGACGCGGTCGTAAGGATGAGCCTGCGTAGCTCTGCTCGACTTGACCGCGTTTAATGCCCGAGGTAGTGCAAACATTACCTGATCCTGATCACGTCGGGGTCACCAGTTTGGCGGCAGTTCGAGTGTGGAAAAGGAAAGGGGAGACGTTTCGTCCGGGGCCCGCTAGAGGACTCATCGGTAAAGCTATCCTAGCGGGCCCTTGCTTTAGACGTAAGGGTAGGACGAAGTCTCGGTGTATATATACGGATCGAGGCGGATCGGTTACTAGCGGGAAGAGGAGTCCTCTGCTGGCAGGTCTGGAGGTAGCCGCCACATACCCCCCTGCCAGTGATAACGATATCTAAGATGGGGGTCCTCTCCATGCTAGATGTTTGCTATACCTCGTGGGCATCGACGCGGTCGTAAGGATGAGCCTGCGTAGCTCTGCTCGACTTGACCGCGTTTAATGCCCGAGGTAGTGCAAACATTACCTGATCCTGATCACGTCGGGGTCACCAGTTTGGCGGCAGTTCGAGTGTGGAAAAGGAAAGGGGAGACGTTTCGTCCGGGGCCCGCTAGAGGACTCATCGGTAAAGCTATCCTAGCGGGCCCTTGCTTTAGACGTAAGGGTAGGACGAAGTCTCGGTGTATATATACGGATCGAGGCGGATCGGTTACTATCGGTTACTCTGCTGGCAGGTCTGGAGGTAGCCGCCACAATCAGAAAAAATTCCTTCGTCAACAAAAAGATTACTCATTGTAAAAATAAAATAAAAATTTTACTTTGTCTACTTACAATAATTTTTAGAAGGGGAATTTTTTCGAGTTATTCGTAATAGTTATCTGTGAGGGAAATTCCGTTTTGCTCGCACATAATAATTATTTTAACAGACATTTTAACTTTAACTTTGTGGATTTTTAATGTGGATTCGGCTGTGCTCGAAAGTGCACATTATGTACATTAAAGTGCTCACAATTTCTAAGTGTATGTACTCCCATCGAAAAATAACACTAAATATCTGTCCAACTAATAATTTTTCGACATAGATAGGTGCATACTTTTTTATAGAAAATGTCAAGCTGTATCATGTAGTGTTTAAAGAAAATGATTCTCATTGAAAAAGTTAATGTGAACTTGAAATCTCCGAAACTTCTCCAGCTGCAATAAAATTATTACCGCCATGTTATAGATTTCCCTGACCTGATAAACTTTTGTTAACGAAGTTTTTGCATATCTACAAAAATAACAGAGATTTTTAGGACGTCTCTTTTATCTGAGACAGCCTGTACATTAGGATCGATTTCTTAGAAACCAATATCTGTAGAAGATTATTTACGAAGATTGTAATACAATGGTTT